TCATGTACATGTATGTTATGACATACTTGACACGCCAAAATTGATCATATTACAAACCTTTATTAAAGAATTGTGACTTTTTCCAACGACCTTAGGTGAGTGATCTAAGGTCACCATTATCCTCTTATTGAAAGTATGAGATATGAATAATTAAGAAAATGTCTTAACTTATCAAAAACTGCATGCAGGCCAAGCAATATCATTGATATATCTGTTTCACATCACATAGTTGAAATGATGCTGAATAAGCCTTAATTTTACTATATATGTACAAGAATTGAATGGAAAAATCATTATCTCATTGCGTTGGCTTTTAGGCAATTTTTATATTTTTAATGTGAAATTGTGAAGGAGTCAATAATATGCGTTAATGGACTTCCTTACATGCATGTACATGTTTGCCATTTTAAACATGTTTTGTTAATTTATTGTCTTCTTATATATCTTTACAATTAACAATTAAGAGTTCATAGAAAAGTTAATAAAGCAAAGAATTCACCTGTATCTATATAAACTTTGTTCTTTTTCAATTAATTTCGGATATATTTACCCCACCAATTTTCACAAAATATAAAACAGATTTTATGGTTAATTTTATTATTTTTACAATAAACACATGGTGAAGTGTAAATTGAGTTTTAAATACAGATTCAGAAATAAAATAACTTTTGTACATAAATTTAGAATACTATATTAGACAAATATGCAAAAATTGTTGTTTTTTTCTTGATAATTTTAAAGATATTTCGTAGACAAAAACTTTAAGAAAGCTTACTTTCAGTGTGATTAGCATATAATTTGAATATTTATATTCATGTTTAAAACACTTTTTTTAAATTAACTTAATTTGTGCAAGAATTTACACTTTAAAAATAATAATACAGTTTTGTACAAAATCGTCGGCCATATTTGACGCCATATTGGATTCTGAAGAGGTATGACAGCGGAATTGTGTAAGATTTGAATTTTTGAAAAAGAGAAACGTTATAAATGCTATAAAAACTTTGAATGGTTGAGCTATTATGTACTTCAAAGTTTTATGGCGGCCATATTGAAAATGAAGGCCATCTTGAATGAGCACTTTTTAAATCTACATGACATTGGTCTTAAGATTATTTCCTGAAAATGTCATGCTTGTATCGCCATTTGCGCTATTTTCACAGTTTCCCGCCCAACTATATATACATGTAGTCAGTAACCAGTATTTATTGGCAGTTGAACCCCTTCATATGTGTATAATGACAAAGTCACGAAGAGTGTTAGAATATGTACTGAAATTCTTGAAAATACACTTTTTCAGGGTCGTTATGTCATGGTACCTTTCAGTGACGCTCACTTTTCGCCACTCAGCATGGTAAGACAATTAAGATATGTTATTACAGATTATTGAAATAGTTTCAGGAATCACTTCAAGGTTAACAAATATTGGAACGGACCTGCACAAAATATTTAGGATAGACAGATAGATGAATGTCAGACAATTCTAAAGTCCTCCTTCTACCTTTAAAGGAAATTAAACGCACATGCTATTGCCTATCTCTTCTATATGTATCCCACTTCTTATGGCCTTTAGTTGATAAATACTATGATAATAGTATAAAATGTCTTTAACCAAAGCAGGCATGTTATAAATGTTCACAGACAACCTCGAAAAAGTGCGCACTCGATAAATGTTATGTCTCCTTTTGGTTAGAAAATGTTCTTAAATTAATTTAAATATTCTCTGAAACCGATATGAAACAGACATTCACTTAATCCGCTCAGTGGTAACAGTACCTTCTTTTTGTTGATGGAAAATTAAATGACTCGTTCTGTGAAACCTGCAACAAAAACATAGCTCTGGACAAAAATGAACAGAACAAACGATTCGTTTATAGGAACTCCACTTAGGTCCATGGGCAGTTGGTAAAAAATGTCACCAAATTTCAGCATATATCACTATGTAATAGCTACGTTGAAAAAGGAAGTTTTATAGGAAGAAAATATATTTCAGGATTGTTTTAACAATTTATACTAAATAAATATTGGTTGATAAACGAACAATATGACTGAATAAAAAGGCAAGCGTTTCTTTTATAATTAAAAATGAAGAGATTGTAATAAATATGATGTACTTATGTGTCATTATATTGTTTATATTTTTTCTCTTTTTTTAATACCTCCACTTTTCAAAGAAAATAGATGGAACTTTGGTCATAACATTTTTGTTGGTGTGTGTGTCTGCGTTGGTTAACATTTTTTTGTCCAATTTATAAAAGCTAATTATCTAAAAAAAATTCTCTTGTTCCGAAATGTTGCAAAAACACTTTAAGAACAGTAAATGACCAGGTATAAACCCTTGAAAAACGCGGAATATTATCAAATAAATTGTCTGACTGGATTTTATATGTTTACAAAACAATATTTATAATCTAAGAAAAACAGGCGAAACAAGTTTTTTTACGGTATAGAATTTACAATAAACGTTTTAAATAGACTAATGATCCTCGTGAATACTGGAAAATTGTGAAAATGTTAGTTATGTAAGTCAAAACTGTTGGAACTCTGAAATCCCTATGTTTTTCTTATCTTGAATTTTCAATAAAATCTTACATGAACCTAGGTAAACAACTAAGACTTAAATTGTGATCAATGAGTGTTTGTCTGTCCACCCTGTAACATATAATCAAACAATACAAGGTAATTTGGATTATATCCATTAAATATACGTGCTGGGATTGACAAATATGCACTTAATTTGGATTTTAAGATAAGAAAACATACGCATTTCAGAGTTCCAACAGTTTTATTGCAAAACAGGTTATAGATTAGTCAAAATATCAGTTTAAAACAATCATCATTGGGGAAATAGAGAGCAATGATGAGGTCAGGTGATAGTAGGTATATGCTACCTCTGTAAGCTCTGAAAAAGGTCATGAAATCAGTGAACTATTGGCATTTTAGCCACATCTCTCTGCATTCACGCAATGAATGAAAAATGCATGACTTGGTGTAACCACCACTGACCATTTCAGGCGGTACCCTCTGTGTTCCTTCACGTGTTTTTCATGTCTGATTTGTTACTTGTTTTGAATGTTTACATGTTTTGTGATGTTTGCTTTGTTGAATTGTCGTTGACGGTTGGTATTTTCTCACCCCTCTCCCATTGTATAACCCCTCATTTCACATAACGGCCCTTCAACTTTTAGTTTTTATTATTTCACACATAATGTGTCCTTCTCCTTTCGCCGCCCTAATATCACCCCCCCCCCCCGGTTTTAGTTTGGTGCCCTACTTTGGTGTGTCAGGGCGCTGCGTCCTGTGAACGTTGCCTTTGCCTTGTTGATCTTGATTATCGTTTTTTTTTTGAAAATCAATAACAAAAAGAAGAATGTTACAAAATATTGACATAACAATATCAAGAATCAATATTTTGTTCTACAAATAAACACCTGGAAATAAGTGAAGCACATCACCACCGTTCCAAAGCCTGCTATAGTTCTGATTCAAAGAAATGCAAAATGTACCTCAACATCACATAAGACGCCTTGGAGAAGGGTTGAGGCTGGCATCCGGGAACGTGGCGGTTACAAACGTTATTAAGATGTATTTAAGGTTACTTCAGGTATTAGGACCCTAATGGGCACTATCAGGAACTAAAAAATTGACATCATAGGTCAGATGTGTACCATAAAGTACACCTGTATGCAAAATTTAAACAAAGTTTACCGTACGGAAATCAAGTTATGGCCAATTTTCTGAACTCAAGCTAGGATGTTATGAGGGCCCTTTTTTAGAAATGAGGAACCTTTGAATAATATGCAATAACATTCTAATGAAAAATGTTTTCCCATTAGTTTTGGTAAGGAACGAATAGTACCATTCAGTGAACAATCCACATAAGCAAAATTATGGTTTCTACTTAAAATGTATGAAATCTGTATAAAAATGTTACCCTACCTCACATATTTTTACCACATGTCTGACCATTTTTCTACTAAGGGAGCCTAATTAAAAAAAATCTTAAAATTCACTCAAATGAGTGCCTGTTTTCAAAGTTTCCCTAAATTTTTAAAAAAGTATATTGGTTGATCTTGAAAAATATGAGGTACTTTTACCGTTTAGTTTTGATTAGATTACACTTTGAAAATATCAGGTACCATATTTATTACTAGATTTAGCATGATTTAGCCAATAAATACCTATATAAATTAAAAAAATCAAAATTAAACACTTTTTTCATTCCAAATGGGACATGAGAGATACATAAATAATGTTAAAAGAAAAAAAAAGAAAGAAAAAAAATTGACCCTTCTGGGAATTGAACCCATGGCCCTCATTTTCAATGTAGTTAACAGCAGTTCTAGCCTATTTGAATACTCTTCAAAGCGGAGGTAATGCATTAGGATGCTAATACCTTTATCGTCAACATTTAACAAAATATCCACCAGTTAATGTTTTGTAAACACTCCAACACCATACTTATAAACTGTAACATTTTTGGTAAAAAAATAAACACATTTGCTTATGCTTCACTAATTTGACAAAGAATAAACTAATATTATCGTTTATAATTACTTAATTGGTATCTCTACTAAAGAATAACTATTTTTAGCTAAATTAAGTCGTCATTTTATGACCGTGCTTTCAATTACAACCAATTTAAAATTTCCAGGGTGTGCTTAACTTATTTCCAGGTGTTTATATTGAACTGTATTATGTTGAGTTGATTGAACAGCCTCCCTTTAAGATAAAACTTTTATATAATTATGATACTACTAGCATGACTATCATGAAGATAATTTTTTTTTTTGATTTTGGTGCAGTAAATTATCCACATTTAGATTTCGTAGGGAGAAACAAAATAACAGCCGTATACATGTAGTTCGTAACCAGTATTTACTGGCAGTTTAACACTGTTGTTTCTTTTTCTTTTTTTCTCTGTTTCTAGTGACTAGAGAATATGTGTAAAAAGAATTAAACTGAAAATCCTGAAGAAAAAAACACTTTTTTATTTTTAGAGTCGTCAAACCAGGGCACCTAAAAGTGACACTTACATTGAGCCATTCAGAATGGTAAGACACTTAAGATATGTTTAGAGATATTATTTTTACAGATTTATTGAAATAATTTCAAGAATCACTTCAAGGGTAAAGCATATTTTGAACGGACACGCACACAATGTTTAGGATGAACAGACAATTAAATGACAGGCATTTCTTTTATCCTCCTACCACTTTTAAAAGAAATCAAACACATGCTATTGTCTATCTCTATCATATGTATCCTCATATCTTATGGTCATTAGTTGCCATTTAGTTGATTGATAGTATAATATATCTTTATTTAAAGCGGAGATGTTTATAACAAATCGCAAGCAATATCAAAAGGCAAAATGCTGCCGTTCAATACATGTTATGCCCTCTTTTGAGAAGAAAATATTCTATAATTTACATTTGAATGTTCTCTTAAACAGAAACAGGTATTCACTTGAACGTTATACATACTTACTAAGCAATATTATTATAACGTTTTTATTGTGTTTGTATGTCGAACATTTCAGTACGCTCTTAAAAAATGCACGCACGTTACACGCTTTACGAACGAACGTTATATGCCCGCTGTACCAAACGAAATACGCAGACGAACGGAAAAACGATATACGCTAAACGAAATACACTTAACAATATACGCACGTTAAAACATACGCAAAATAAAAACGTTTCGAGAACGTTAATAAGTTATCATGCGCTTACATTAAAAATAAATAATAAGGTTCGTCTCTATTGGCACTTCTGAAAAATACTTTGTTTTAGCCCAGGAATCTCTTAGATAGACGTTTATTACGTCGACACCGCTTCCGGCGTAGAAAAAAACAAGAATGGAAGAAAGTGCTAGAATCTTTAGCAAATCAACGTCAATCATCAAGTCACTTATACAGCGGCAAAGAAATTAATATGACATTTTTACACAAAAGGAAAACATACATTGCTGACCGGCAGCCCAGCACATTGTTAAGACAAGGGCTAAATATATATGCTTCTAGGTTACAATTAAATCGTAAATATGTCAACATAAGCCTTATGAAATTTTATGAATAAGTGTATAATAATAAAAGTAAATTTTTAGTTTGCGTCCGAAACTGTAAGTGAGGAAAAATGAGGAAAATAAAGGAAACCTGTCAACATCATGTATTTATATTAGTGCAAGGTGGGGAGGAATGTGGGACTCCATGAATTTGTGATTCATGTGAAACTGTTAAGTATACAGATTTACAAAAAGATTTAGCGCACCAGTGAATATATTTTCATAGCACTTGAAACTGAAATTTATTGACATTATGCACTTAGTATGACTTGTATTAATATAGTATATTATTACTTATCAATATCAAATATCTAGTATCTTCCTTTTTATGTTACTGTCACGAGCTAAAAAGATAAAATATACTGCCTTACCAGGACTTGAACCCGGGACCCTGGGAATACCATTCCGCGGCTCAACCAACTGAACTATCAGGCTACTTTCACGTCATCTCCCTAAAAAGTGAACAGTTCGGAACCATGATTAATTCCCTCGCTTTATTGAATTTCGTTCTTGAAAGGGTTCACTTAACAATGTGAAATAATACTTGGAGTTTTATACCATTGTATTCCCCTGTGGAATAGGTGATGGTATGAAACTCCAAGGTTAAGTTCACATTGTGTTATTGTAACGTGTACCTAGCTTAAATATACATATCTGTATTAAATATATTACATTTAATAATTTTCCTCTCGGTTTCCTTACCTAAATGATTGAAGACCAATGATTTAAAAAATGATTGAAATATAAATAAATCAACTTGAATTAATCATATATTAAATAAATAATACACAATATAGATATATTTGTTAACAATCCTAAATCTTAGTCTTTCATAGTCTCGATACCTAGTCTCGGTGCCTTTCTAACAAATAACGGCTCGATGCCTACCTATTATACTATGCTCGTATTTTCTATGCTTCTGTTTTATTTATCTCCAAACAATTACAAACAAATATCCTGCAACCCGGTTTACTTTTTTCTCTATAAAAACCTGCAATCCTCTCCGGTAGCGTTGCCCCCTAGAGAACACAGATAACAGACAATATATAGCAGGTATCACTTCAAAGCTCCAAGATTAGATGTTGACAATCTGACTTCCACCAACAAAAACTAAACTCACCTTAAATACCTCTGCTTATATATGCTTTGCACATCAACGCCCTCTTACGGCTATTTATGATTGGCTAATCAACTTACAATACAATTATACAGAAAAGAGTACCTGCTAATAATGTAATATAGATCATATAGTCTGCATTACGAATAATATCAAATAAAACATTATAGAAAAAGCTATTTATTTCATTAAAATTAACTCAAAGGAATACTCACATTATAATTTACAACAGAATAAAAGCAAACTAGCCTTGACAATATAATTAGATTGAGAACGTATTGCCTACGTTTGTTTAAGTGCTTTTACTGTGTTTTAGTGCCGTAACTCGTTATAAATGTTACATTATTACTATCTTTTGGGAGTCAAATGTCAAAGGGTGAGAAAGGTAATGTGCAGCCTGACCGGGACTTGAGCCAGGGACCCCTAGAATACTGCACTGGAGCTGACTACTGACTAAGCCATCTGTCCACTTACATATCTTCTCCCCTCAATAGTGAACAGTTCTGAGCTGTAACTTTACTATAAAGAATTGAATAAATTTCTTTATCTTTCAGTTTTTCAGGATACTTTAGTCATTTCATACACCATACCAGTAATGGTTCCAATACCTCCACTCCAAATAAACAATTGTATTATAATCGAGGGACAGTAAAGGACACATACTATGCCTCATCAGCACTACCGTATGAACCCAGAACCCTCCGAGTACCATACCGCAGCTCTTCTGCTTAAACAATTTTTTCCTAATTATAATATGTGATCTGCACTAAACATTAACGTAGGCCGCCACTGTATTAACATATCTCAAGATCATTGACGAACTGACTAACAAAGTGAAATATCTGAAAATTAAATACAGTTGTGGCTCTTTTTTGGTTCCCAAATGTAACTGTGCAGCCTGACTGGGGCCAAACCTGGGAGGCTGGGACACTTTGAATACCATCCCGCAGCTCTACCAACTGAGCTATAAGGTTTCTTCAATATATTCTTCACTAATTTTTGAACAATTTATACTGTGACATCCCTGCCATATAAAACTCCACAAACTTTTCATTAGTATAGAGAACAGGTGTCAGGTATATATATACCACCATGGCTCTACATTTTGTGCCAAATTTCACAGGGTGAGAAAATGTGCAGTCTTACCAAAATCAAACCCAGTACCATCAGAAAACCATTATATTGGGACTGTACTAACTGAGTTATCTCAAGCCATCTCATATTCCCACCTACTCCCCTCTCAAAAATTAGAACAGAAAAAATATAAGCCCAAATGTGCCTTTTAAAACAAAAAAAATGCAGTAAATGCAGAAATCCTAGATTAGAGATGAGAGTGCAACATAATTTTGTTAATCTAGGTAGCTCCAGTGAAACAAGTATTCCAGGTGGGGGTTTAATGACCAAGGCATCCCTCCCCCTGTCTAAACTGTCTTTAAATTCCATATTGTGTGTTGAATGTGCATTATGACACACCCTGTACATGATAATTATTATTGTTTGGAGAAGGTATATGTGTTCCTCTTTCCAATGCATCTTTGTCAACTATCGGACAGGAAGACTTTGAAGTGATTTGTACTTTAGGTTGAGGTGAATTGTATAGGTATGCATAACGCATGTTATCTCTTATTTTGAGCACTTTAACTTGATTATCACCATACATAGTTAATTTTTTGTATGGATTAACTGTCAGTTGTGACTAACTTTGACAGCGTATGTTTTTTGGAACCATTTAACTTTGACAAATGATTAGAAACTGGCTGATTTGGATTACAAATTGTGCTATTTGAATCATGCGTAATTTTAGCATCAGTAGGTTTTAGTTGAAGGTGTATGATTTTTGTTAGAATATTAAACATCTTTTAACGCAATACGTGGTATGGAATTTGTATCATGTGAAATGTGAAAGTCAGCTTGGAAGCTTTTATTTTGTGTTTCGCCTTTTATTCCATTTGATAAAGTAAACATGCAGTTTGTGTTGGTAGTTTTGCCAAAATGTTGTTATCACATAGGTACAAACCAATTTATAAACCAATATAATAAAATGAACAATTTTTCTGCCTCAACATTTTTTAAATGTTGTGCATTACAAAAGAAGCTTTCATATGCATTAATAAAAGTGTAATCTTGCTTCAAAACAGTTACTTAAAATTTGCGACATGCCTTATACATGTATAAGCCATGATATTTTATTATAGAGATATAAATTATCATAGAGTAGCTGGTAAAAAGTTACATCTTTAACAAATTACCTATCGTGCATTCTGGTTAAGATTCTCAAATTTGTGTGAGAAAATGTTGACAGACAAACATTTTTGAATCTCAGTTGACTTTGTTGCCTGAAATTTGAGTATAAGGTGTCCGGTCTACGTTTCAATTTTGCAGACTGCTTAGCCACAGTTACTTTGGAATCCTTTTGGTTACCATACACGCCAGGCTTGCAGCGATGGCATTCATTGGCAAGCATTCCCTCCTTAGTGACTGTTCTGCACTTCATTTATTGATTTTCAATTTTTGTATATGGGTTTACATATAAATGTTAGAGCAAAAACGCACTGGTTGATTGAACGGCTGATATCATTCAACTGACAAGGTACTGCTACTGAAAAAAAATCTTGGATTATATTAAAAATACTGTGCTATTTCAGTTTTGATATCATGCCATTTCTACTATATCAGTGTTAATTTTATATTATGATTATGTTTATTACCTTTTGATATATATTTATTGTGCAAGGTTTTTTCAATTGGCATTGTTTGCACAAGTATTGTACGTTTTAGTATTTTCAACGCCTAGTTATTTCCTTTTTAGTTTTTTTGTTTGTGTTTCCCTTACCTCTTCCATTCCTCAGATAATGTATTGTAGTACAAATT